ACGCACCCGCTCACGCCCTCGCACACGAACACACACTCGCTCACGCACTCGAACACGCACTCGCTCACGCACTACCACTCGCACAAACACTCGCTCATGCACTCGCACACGAACACACACTCGCTCACTACCACTCGCGCACACACTCACTCACACACACACCCGCTCACGCACTCGCTCACGCACTCGCTCACGCACTCGCTCACGCACTCGCTCACGCACTCGCTCACGCACTCGCTCACGCACTCGCTCACGCACTCGCTCACGCACTCGCTCACGCACTCGCTCACGCACTCGCTCACGCACTCGCTCACGCACTCGCTCACGCACTCGCTCACGCACTCGCTCACGCACTCGCTCACGCACTCGCTCACGCACTCGCTCACGCACTCGCTCACGCACTCGCTCACGCACTCGCTCACGCACTCGCTCACGCACTCGCTCACGCACTCGCTCACGCACTCGCTCACGCACTCGCTCACGCACTCGCTCACGCACTCGCTCACGCACTCGCTCACGCACTCGCTCACGCACTCGCTCACGCACTCGCTCACGCACTCGCTCACGCACTCGCTCACGCACTCGCTCACGCACTCGCTCACGCACTCGCTCACGCACTCGCTCACGCACTCGCTCACGCACTCGCTCACGCACTCGCTCACGCACTCGCTCACGCACTCGCTCACGCACTCGCTCACGCACTCGCTCACGCACTCGCTCACGCACTCGCTCACGCACTCGCTCACGCACTCGCTCACGCACTCGCTCACGCACTCGCTCACGCACTCGCTCACGCACTCGCTCACGCACTCGCTCACGCACTCGCTCACGCACTACCACTTGAACATGCACTCGCTCACGCACTACCACTTGCACACGCACTACCACTTGCACACGCACTACCACACGCACTTGCTAACGCACTCGAACACACTCACGCACTCGCTCACTAAAACTCGCACACACACTCGCTCACGCACTCGAACACACTCGCTTACTACCACTCGCACACACTCGCTCACGCACTCGAACACGCTCACGCACTACCACTCGCATACGCATTCGAACACGCTCACGCACTACCACGCGCACACACACATTCGCTCACGCACTCTAGCACGCTCACGCACTACCACTCGCGCACATACTCGCACATGCACTCGAACACCCTCACGCACTACCACTCGCACACGCACTCAAACACGCTCATGCACTACCACTTGCACACGCACTCGCTAACGCACTCGAACACGCTCACGCACTCCCACTCGAACATGCACTCGCTCACGCACTCCAACACACACTCACTCACGCACTACCACTTGCACATGCTCACGCACTACCACTTGCACACGCACTCGCTAACGCACTCGAACACGCTCACGCACTCCCACTCGAACATGCACTCGCTCACGCACTCCAACACACACTCACTCACGCACTACCACTTGCACATGCTCACGCACTACCACTTGCACACGCACTCGCTAACGCACTCGAACACGCTCACGCACTACCACTCGCACACACACTCGCTCACGCACTCGCACACGCACTCGCTCACGCACTACCACTCGCACACACACTCGCTCACGCACTCGCACACGCACTCGCTCACGCACTACCACTCGCACACACACTCGCTCACGCACTCGCACACGCACTCGCTCACGCACTACCACTCGCACACACACTCGCTCACGCACTCGCACACGCACTCGCTCACGCACTACCACTCGCACACACACTCGCTCACGCACTCGCACACGCACTCGCTCACGCACTACCACTCGCACACACACTCGCTCACGCACTCGAACACACACTCGCTCACGCACTACCACTCGCACACGCACTCGAACACGCTCACGCACTACCACTCGAACATGCACTCGCTCACGCACTCCAACACACACTCGCTCACGCACTACCACTTGCACACGCTCACGCACTACCACTTGCACACGCACTCGCTAACGCACTCGAACACGCTCACGCACTCCCACTCACACACGCACTCGAACATGCACTTGCACACGCACTCCCACTCGCTCACGCACTCTGACACGCTCACACACTACCACTCGCACACACTCGCTCACGCACTCACACACAAACACACACTCGCTCACGCACTACCACTCGCACACACACTCTGACACGCACTCGCACACACACTCGCTCACGCACTCGCACACAAACACACACTCGCTCACGCACTACCACTTGAACATGCACTCGCTCACGCACTCGCTCACGCACTACCACTTGCACACGCACTACCACTTGCACACGCACTTGCTAACGCACTCTCACACACTCACGCACTCGCTCACTAAAACTCGCACACACACTCGCTCACGCACTCGAACACACTCGCTTACTACCGCTCTCACACACTCGCTCACGCACTCGAACACGCTCACGCACGACCACTCGCACACGCATTCGAACACGCTCACGCACTACCACGCGCACACACACATTCGCTCACGCACTCTAGCACGCTCACGCACACGCTCATGAGGGGGAAGTCGTGGCCTAATGGTTAGAGAGTCGGACTCGTAACCCAAAAAGGTTGTGGGTTCGAGTCTCGGACCGGCAGGGATTCCACTCGCACACACACCCGCTCACGCACTACCACTGGCACACACACTCGCTCACGCACTACCACTCGCACACACACTCGCTCACGCACTCGAACACGCACTCGCACTCGCATTCGCTCACGCACTCGAACACGCACTCCCCCTCGCACTCACTCACGCACTCCCACTCGCTCTCGCACTCGCACACGCACTCGAACACACGCTCACGCACTCGAACACACGCTCACGCACTCCCACTCGCCTCACGCACTACCACTCGCACACGCACTCGAACACTCGCACACGCACTCCCACTCGAACACGCATTCGCTCACGCACTCGGACACGCACTCTCACTCCCATTCGCTCACGCACTCGCTCACGCACTCCCACTCGCTCACGCACTCGCACACGCACTCTCACTCCCACACGCACTCACTCACGCACTCGAACACCCAGCCGCAGTCGTAAACGCACTCGCTCACGCACTCCCTGTCGCACACGCACTCGCCCACGCACTCGAATTCGTAAACGCACTTGGTCACGCACTCGCTCACACAATCGAACACGCACTCGAACACGCAAACGCACTCGCTCACGCACTCGAACACGCACTTGAACACGCACTCCAACTCGCATTCGCTCACGCACTCGCACACGCACTCCCACTCGAACACGCATTCGCTCACACACTCGCTCACGCACTCCCACTCGCTCACGCACTCCCACTCGCTCACGCACTCCCACTCGAACACGCACTCCCACTCGAACACGCACTCGCACACGCACTCGCACTCGCACACGCACACC